CAAACTAACCTGAGCACAACAAAGCCCCCACCCAAACAGAACACTCCCCCAGCCAATCAGAGCACAGCAAACCCCCCATCCAATCAGAGCACAGCCAGGCTCCTTAACCAATCAGAACACACCTCCACCCAATCAGAACACAGCCAAGCTCCCACCCAATCAGCTCCAACCCCACTGGCAGTTAAAAGGAAGAAACAGCAGCGATCACACACCACTCTTAGAAGCACGAAGCTGAAGACACCAGCCTGAAGATGACGAATGTGACTTCGTCGAAACGTCGCCAAGGTACTTTTAATTCTACGCGGGAGAAAACCCGAATAACTAAAGACCTACATACATATATATATACATACATACATATATGTGTGTGTGTGTGTCTATATCTGTAGCTGTGTATATGTATGTATGTATACATACATATGTATATAGATATAGATACATATACATATAAAAATTTGGGGCAAAATTCTCCAGTTTCCTTCACTGGCCCCTCTTCCAGGTTTGGGACCACAACTTTGAGTTCTCCCTTTGGGCACCTCCTATTGACTCGTTCAGAGTTCAGATAGTTCTCTTCTTTGCAATTATCGAAATTATAGTGATTTTTGTTGACTAGATTAGGACCCTAGAGATGTTTCTGCAAACTTTCAGAAAACTTTACACAAACAAGTCAGAAATTGGTTTGATATCTATATAAGACTCATAGGTAAAGTTGAGAGGAGTCTATATCAGTAATACTAGATGCATAAATGACTCTGGAGACAGAAAAAGAATCTGGGGCTGATTTCAGGGTAGGCAGATACTGTGTTTATCTCTCTTGGCTGGGCTCTGACAGCATCTGAAGCCACTTTCCTGGAAGAGGTTCTATTTTCTTCATCTCACACTTTGTTTAAAAAAAAAACCGGTGCCACAGAGAAGGCTCAAATCATGTTGCTACTGCTTCAGCTTATTCTGCTTCTGTGGCCGAGGGGAGCCTCTAGTATATACAAAGCCAAATGTCTCCTGACTCTGGAGCAGAGTGAAGTGGACCCAGACAATCACTACAAGTCAGGAGATTATTTCATTAGCGGTATAATCTCTGCAAGGGACACTAGGTTTGAATCATTAAGCTTTAACAGAAGTCCTTCAACAATGTTCCTTGAGTAAGTCCTGCATTGCATTGGAGCCACTCCATTTTCAATGAATGTCTACAGTTCTAGTTCTCTGAAAACACAAGGTTCTCTCTCCTTGATGGTGCTCCTTTTGCTAAGTTACTTTCTGATTCTGCCTTCTGTTGCACACTGCAGGTGGCAAAGCTCATTGTGAGCGGTAAAGTCTAAGAATCCAATCACTATGTTTGCATCATTCCATTTCCTTTCTGTCCTCTGAGCAGAGCTAGAGTGTAAACACAGAGGTCCTTTCTCTTCTACCTGAATTCTAAGCTGAGCTGGACTCCAATGGATACCTGGTCTAACCACAGAGGGATGCTGTATTTTCTCTTTGCATCAGATATGAGATAAATCCACTCTAGTTTATCCACATCAAAATTTACTGCTGGTTTCAAAGCATCCCAGTTAGGAACATAGGCATTCAGAGAGTTTTCAAATATCTCTGATTCTCATTCAAGAGTTCATGCCAACAATTTAACAATGAAACATTTTAAACAAATGAAAATATATCTCTGTTATATTGGTTGGAATTTATACGCCCGTGTGACTCTGGAGAGCTTACAATTAAAAGAAAAAGAAAATAGAAAACAGGAAAAGAAAAAAACAGCCGCAGAAACAACAGAAGGCAATCTCAATAACTTTGGTCCAACTCCACAAATATTTATCATATTAAGGATATACTAGAACTAATAATAATAGTGTTTTAGCCATTCAGTATCATTTAAAATTATTTGATAGGATCGTAGAGCTGTATCAAAACATGGAAGTTATCTATATATATCACCCACCCTCACTCAGACAGAGGAAATAATTTATTAAATATAAAATGCTTGAAGACCAATATAGGAAAGTAAAGTGATGCTAGTGTAACCAATAGAATTGTTCCTAAAACTAGCATGGGATCCAAAATTTTCTATTGTTTTTATTTCCCTCCCCCTCTGGTAATAGTTTGATTGTTTGCAAATTGTTTGGAAGAATAATTGTGATGAGGGGATGAAAAGAACAGTATTATCATG